TTAAATTTATTATTTTTGCGTCTTTTTCAAAGTAATTTTGAATTGAATTAAAACAGTAAAATGTTTTAGAGTATATTACATGATCTTTGGATTACAAACTCTTAAAATGTAAAATCTTAAACTTAAAGTTTAAAAAAGAAAGGAACCTAAAACTTTGAAATATGCAAATTTTTATAGATCTAAAGTTATAAATATTTTTACGAGATAGTGAAATAGTAAGGTTGTTAATTAAATTCCTAAACTGTGAGTTTCAAAGTTAAAATTTTGAATGTAAACTGTTCCAAGAGGTCATTGTCTCTATGCTATTGTTAGTTATTTTTATTTTATTATAATACTCTTATGGGTTTTGTAGTCTCTTTTTAGCAATAAAAATTATTATTGTTATTATAAAAAAAGCCACATGTTATCAGGAGGAGAAGAAAATTTCAAATTCTGCAGTTGCAAGATTTCAATTTTTTTAATTTCTGAAATCGTAAAATTCCAACAAAATTAATTAAAACATGCTCAAAAATCGTAATAATAAAATTAAAAAAACGAAAGAATGCAAAGATGTAAAATGATTATATCGAATCTAAAACTTTTTTTGAAATTTGCGAATTTTTATAGACCTAAAGTTTGCGTTTTCGTTTTTATTACGATATTTAAAAAAATATATTTTTCTATTTTTTCATATTTTATTTTATATTATTTTATTTTTATGTTCCTTCATTTTTAAGTATATTAAAGTATTCCACACGACCATCGGATTGTAGAATTGTAAAAACACAAACTTTAAATGAAGTCAAGTTTCAAAATTGTGCATTTTTTATAAATTATTAATTATTATTAATTGCAAAATTAATTAAAACTGATGTAGAATGTTAGATTACAATATCATCGGATTATAAACTCTTAAATTGAAATAACGTAAAAGGATGCAAAATTCAAAATTGTAAAATGAAAATTACATCGAATCTAAAGCTTTGAAATTTGCAAATTTTTGTGGATTAATCGGGTTTATAGAAGCCGAATTAAATTTTTGACTGTAGTTAACATTCATTCGTTAATTAATTATTAATTTTGATTTAATTCACTTTCTGTAAACATAGTAAAATTGAAAGTTCGTAGAACTCCAAACTGAATTTGAAAGTTAAAATTTTTAATGTAAACTGTTCCAAGAAGTCATCGTTAGCGATTTTTATTTTATTATGGATTTCGATAATCTGTTTTTGGTAATAAACATTATTATTATTATTAAAAAAAAAACAAGTCTCGTCAAGAGAACAAGAATATTTTAAATTCTCGATTTAGAAGTTTTCAACGAACAAAAAAGAGTTTGCATTTGTAATAATGTTTTATTTTATATTTCATTTTTTTATTATCATTCTTTTTTTCATTTTGAAGTTTCTACTTTCTTATTAAATTATTCCACACGATCATCGGTAAGATTGTAAAAATACGAACAGTAAGTTTAATAGTTAAAATTTTGCATGTAAAATGTTTCGAGAACTCAAGTGGACTGTAAAGTTTCAATTGTGCATTTTTGGACCTAAAAATAAAACTTTAAAAAATTGCAAGTTTGGACAATTCTACAGTTGCAAGATTTCGACCTTTTTAATTTTAAAATTGTAAAATTGTACCAAAATTAATTAAAACAGTAAGATGCTGTAGAGTATATTACATGATCTTTAGATTATAAACTCTTAAAATCCTAATAATCAAAAATTTAAAAAAGAAATAATCTAAATCATTGATTTTTGCAAATTTTTATAAATATGTTCACAAAATAGTAAAATTGTAAGGTCGTTAAATTCGTAAACTGTGAATTTGAAAGTTCAAATTTAGAATACAAACTGTTCTAAGAGGTCAGTTATTTTTATAACTTCTTTTTAGCAAGAAACATTAAACTCAAATGATATCAGGAAAAAAAATTCAAATTCTCAATTTGGAAGTTCTTAACAGAAAGAGTGTGACCTACTAAGATTGCAAAGTTAAAACATTGTAAATTGAAAATAACAAAATTTTTTCAGAACTATGATAAAAGAAGCGACATTTTGGGGCAACGACTACGTAATGTCGGGCTCCGATTGTGGCCACGTCTTTATTTGGGACAAAAACACGACGAAATTGAAAATGTTGTTACAAGCAGATCAGCATGTGGTCAATTGTTTACAACCTCACCCGACTTTACCACTTCTTGCGACTAGTGGAATTGACCACGATGTAAAATTGTGGGCTCCGATTTTAGAAGAACCAGGTTTTAATGAGAAAATAGCCGAAGATGTAGGTTTTATTTTGAATAAAATGTTTTTTTTAACGAAATTTCTTGTAGTTAATCAACCGTAATGCAATAATGTTGGAAGAAACCAAAGATACAATTACAGTACCTGCAGCGTTTATGATTCGAATGTTGGCGTGTTTGAATCAAATTCGTCGAGGAGGTAGAGCTCGGGCCCGAAGACAGGATGAAGAAGATGAAAACAATTAAATTTCAACGTATGTATGTATATAAAAAAAACTACGTTTGTAGAAAAAATCAATGATGTATGTATATACAAACTTGCTTGTTTTAAATTACAGGATTGTTGGATTTCTCTCTCTATTTTATCGTAACTAAATGTTTAATTTTTTTCTTTCGTTAAAGTTCCGATTTAATGCGATTATTTCATGTATTTATTATTATTTTCAAAGGTGAGATTAAATTATTGATACCTTGAAGTTTTTTCATCATTTTGGGTTAATTCAAACAACAATAACATACAAATAAAACATGTATTTTTACGTAATAGTTCAACAATTCCATAAAATAACTAAATCTAGTATCACCCCAAATATATTTACAACATGCATTTGTATGTACATTTAATCGGAAAGTTATTTTTTTTATACTTGGCAAAAACGATCACTTTGGTTCTATGTTTAGTGGATTCCTTTTTCTATAAAATCAAAAGCGGGAATTAAATATTGTACGAATGGCACATGCATGTGTAATCCCTTTTTTTGTAATTTTTTTTTGTGAATTTATTATAAAAGTGTGATATTGAAACAAAAAAGGGATTATTTTTTTATTTGTGACAAAAATAGCAAGCAAATAGTTCATTCGTTAGTACATGCAAGTCTAATAGTCCTTCTCTTAAAACGACATCAACTTAAATTCAAAAATTCTTTTTTAAGTCACATGAAAAATAAATAACAAATGAAAAATTAAGTACACTTTTGTCTCATAAGGATACTACTAAATCATAGATACATTTGTTAACCTAACGATGATTTTGACTTAATTATACAGGGTGTTGTCTTCATTAGGAACTCATTTTTAAATTTACGTTTACTTAGGTTTTACAAAAAAATCCCCAGTTACATGGATAAAAACTGACAAGCTACATTTGATCTGTTTTACATTACTATTTTACAAATTTTTGAGTAATGGCTCCTATATTCTGTTTTGTACTCAAATTATTTTTATAAAAAAAGGTAATTGTGAGAATCAAAAATAAAATGTGATCAGTTTACAAAAATAACATTTTTCCTTATTGGACCATCTTTACTTTAAAAAAATGTAATTTTGTAAAACTATTATTTTGCAAAGTAATAATTTATCTAGAAATTGCACCCCGCAAACAGGATGACGAAAAACCATGGACACAGTACCTATCTGCCTTATTTTTAATCTGATTTAAATCAAATCCAATTGTTTCATTAGGTATATTTTTTGACAGAATTCCTTCTACAATCGAAATAACAAAAATTTACTTTAAGAAACAAAATATCTGTTATAGATAGGAAATTACTTCACTTCTTGATTCTTGTTTAATGTTTATAACATCACAAACACAATCTTTGTTAACGCACAATGATTTAAAAAAATGAGGGTCGTAGATGCAATAAAATGATTTCATTTGAGATCTTATTTACTAAAATACGAAAAAAAAAAATAAACAAGATTGAGAAAAAAAATTTAAAAAAAAACACTATTCTTCTCCTTCAATTAAAAATTTTTTTTGCTACATGGGGTACACTTTATTTGTAAAAATAATTTTTAGAGAAGATTGAGGTTAAGATTGTTTGAACTTTCGCAACGTTGCCATCAGTGTTGCCAGCTCAAAACAATTAAATTTACCAAAGATTTACACCAAATTTTTAATACTGTCGAAGATTCACGTTTTTTACATAAATCTCGCAAATCTGCTCAAAAATGTGGTTGCAATGCGCTATTTTATTTAGTCTAATTCTATACTTTTTTTGGTTAGTTTTAATTCAGTTTTGCGAAATAGCGGGTAAGTGTTAATGTTTGTGACAAAAAAATCTATTGGCAACACTGAATTATTTGTAATCCTTCTAAATTTGTTTTAGGAGTATATAAAAGTTTGACGTTTGAATTTGAAAGTTAAGGTTGCCAAATTAAAATTTTAAATTTGACACCAACTTGAGGTAAAAAAATGACAATCATTTACAGTTACCCGATATTTAGATATTTACGTTTTCACTTGAAAAACATGCTAAAACACTAGATACAGGCAAAAATAATGACTTAATTTGATGTTTTTTTGGTTTGTTTTAGCAAAATCTTCATTTTCGACCATATTTGGTATTTTGGTCCTATTTTTTTGACAAAATTTCACTAAAAAAAAAAAAGCTAAATTAAATGAAACGAATGAAATAACATAAATTTAGATTTAATTTTGTTGTGTTAAAGCATGTTTTGACAATATCGTTCAAAATAAATGAGTCATTTCAATTTCAATCTAATTTGGTAATTTCTCAGTCAGTTTTAGCAAAAATTTGAATGTATTTTGAAAACGTGCTGAAACACTCTAAAAATGCAAAAATAACACTAGTTTTTCGATAAATTTTTAGTTTATTTTTAACGAAATTTTGCAAAATAGTCCTGTTTCTGACTAAAAACATACTAAAACGCTCAGAATTGGACAAAATAATGTACTTTTTGACCCATTTTAACGATTTTTTTACTTTGTTGAGTGAAACAAAACTATCTCTCGATTTTTCAACTTGTTTTTGAGCATTTTTGGGATTCTGCACGGCTAAAAACCGTGCAAAATGCTCGAAAGAATACAAAAAAAAAATAGTGGCATCATTTTTGACTGAATTTACTATATCAATAATTAAAAAATCAAATTAAAAATGTTAATTTTACTGACATTTGGGTGAATACTCAATTTAAAAATAAATATTTAAAAATTTAATTTAATTTTCTGCTAGAACTACAGTTACGTTTCTAAAAAATTATCAGAAATTAAAATTTTTACAAAATATTTACCAAATCATTAAATTAGTATAAAAATCACCAGATCTGGTGAAATTTCACCAGTCCTGGCAACACTTAAAGTGATCTCTTTCAACGACTACTTCAATGCACATTAATATGAAAACGAGTATACAATTTTTGAATAAAATTCGCAATTTCGACAAAAAATACAACAAATAAATACACAATTTAAGTGAGTAATCTTGAAATTTGTTCAATCATTTTAATCCAGACTATAAGAAATTTAAAAAATACAACAAAAATATTTTTTATACGTTAAAAATATAAATTGTGTTTTTTTTTAAGTTTTCATTTTGTTTTCAGGAAAAAAACTGCTGAACAAAAAAGATTTTGATTTCCAAAATGCGCCTTTAAGGTTTTAATGTTTGTGAATTGTTAAAACATATTATCATAAATATACAATTTTTGAAATAAAAGGGACTTCATGGTTTTTGAAAATTTTTGGGTTAAGTGTCAAGGGTTTTTCGTCAATTCTGTGTATTGTCTTTTGTTTAAAATTGTAAAAACGTTTTATATCTACACAACTACGTATTCAATAAACGTTTCCTCATATTATTTTATGGAAATGACTAGAAACAAAAATCAGAAAATTTTTCTCATAAAATTTTCCTAATAACAAATAAAAATTCTAAACTAGAAATTAAATGACTATAAAAACCCCCTATTGGACCAACAAAATATATAGTACTTATTATTATTTAATAATTCTCCTGAAAATCAACCTCGTGGTAATGACTACTAATTTTACATTCATCACACAATAATCAAATTTTGATTTTTTTTAATCAATGGGCGGTTTAACACGAGAATAAACTTAATAACTATTGAGCATAAACAAGTAAAATCCTATCTTATTTTTATAATATCAATATATCTACAATTGGTAAGCAGAAAAACAGTCAAGGTCCCGCCTCGACACATCACAATAAAATCACTCTAATTATAAAAATTAGATAGGAGACACCTTAAAATCAATAATTTACGCGTCTTCTGGTTCTAACAAGTGTTGTGCTTCAATACTACTTTGAAAAGTCTGCGGAAATCTTTTATTTAACGCAGCAGTTGTCGTAATACTCTGCTGTCTTTTGATCATCATTAACGTCAAAACAGCAGCACAAGAAATTAATATCAACGAAATGACAATACCCCCCGCTGAAAAGTGTTAATAAAAAGCCACATGCACTTTAATTGAAAAAAAAAAAAACGTACCAGTAATGGTGAGAATAGTCGTGAGTGAATACTTTCCAGTTCCAATAAAAATATCTCCAATATTTGACCCGTTATTTTTAGTTGGGGCGATTTCCAGTACTTCACAAAAGAAATTAAACAAATCCACGGTGTTAAAAGGGGGCACCTTGTGATTGACTTTAATTTTGGGGCCCCGCGCCATGAAAAACGGACGCATTTCCCTGACGGTATAATCGTAACCGTGAACCCCAAACGTCGAGTTATTTGTTACTAAAATGCAACGTCAGATGATGCAATTAAGAAAAAATTCAATTACAGTTTTCTGCTTTTTCTTTTGTAGAAATGATCAAATCATCGAGTCCATACCCAACATCAGCTAAAACTAGAATTGGGGGACTCCTAGGATTATCATAGTGCCATCTAGGCAAAAACTCTTCTTTTTTAAACACACTGAAATGGTTCAGTAACGACGCATTTTTCAGTTTTTCATAAATTTCAGACTCGAATCCTTTTTTGGGATGGAACTGTAAAATGGGGGTTGACCCCGCGTAGATGTACGTGTCAGGGGTCAAATATTGCGTTACGTTGATAAAATTCGGGGGCTTCACATCCAACATTCCATGGTCGCTGAGATGTACAATTGTTACTTTCCCGCCTAAATTATTTTTTTCAATTTGTTGCTAAAAACAATCATTTAGGAGGGATTAAAATTTTTTTTTTGTTTCTTACATGCAAATAAAGTGTGATATTGTCCAATTTAGTGATCAAATTATTAACTATGTCCGAATTAATACCATAAATGTGACCATCAGTGTCTGGTTCGTCGAAATAAAGCATTACTAAATTGGCTGGTTTTTTCGGGTCTTTGATCCATTCAATTGCCTATAAATGGTTTGAATTAACTACAATTGTCCCAAAAACCATTTCCTACCATATCAATGCGTTTAAACCAGTCAAAATCGTGCTTATAGTCTTGACAATGTGTTATTTTTTTTCCTTGATAGGGGTAACAACCCCCTGGCCACATCATCACCCCTGAGTGTCTTCCTTCACCCGCATCCTCATTTCTCCTCCAAATCGGGACAACATTGTCGTTAAAATGAAACATTTCATAATTAATATGAACCACAGTATTGGTTGTTTTATTGAAGTAACTGTTACCGATAACCCCATGTATGTCAGGATACAACCCCGTGGCAATTGAATGATGATTTGGGAACGTTTTAGTCGGGAAAACATTAACCAAATAGTCGGAATAGGTCCCCAATTTCCTCAATCTGTTCATGTGGGGTACAGATTTTGTATCGAAAAAGTCATACCTGAAGGCGTCATATGATACGACTATTAAAATGGGGCTTTGGGAGAGGGAATATGCAAAGTTTGCCACGAGACATTCTAAAAATATTTTTAAAATCATTCCAGAAGTGTTTTTATTATTTGACACATGACAACTGTGACTGTGACAGTCAGCTGATTTTGACAGACGTCAAAATCAAAATATTTTTGTAGTAATTTTTTATAAGAAATATATTTTTTATTATTATTTTCTTTTTGTTTATTTTCAATAAAGACGAGTTTAAAGTGGCAAAATCAATTATTTTAATTATTAGTGACACAAAACTAGGGACTTTTTACTCTTGTAATTTTGACAGTAGTAGTAATGAAACATTTTTGTATTGTTGTATTGTATGCAAGCGAAAGAAATACAATTATTCGTATATTTTCTTATGGTTTATTTTAAATAAAGTGAGTTTTAACTGGTAAAAGTTTATTTATTGCACAAAACTGGGGACTTTCACTCACTAGTGTTGGTACCGCCAGTTGTCAACCACCCCTCAAATGTCATTTGACAATTTCGAGTTTAGCAAAAATAATTTTGTTTATTACGTATTTCGGTGGCAATAATAATAAATGAATGTGACTGTTACGTTAATGACCACTTTAACGCCACCCCATGGGGGTTAAACACTCCGCAGTCCTAAATGGGGGGCTGCAGGTAAAATGGGTAGCTGTTTCGGCAAATGTTTGCCTAAATCAGATACTTCGAAAAGTCTTCGCAACTTTAATATTCTTCAAGGGCAGAGAAATGGAGTCGAATTCGCATTTTTGGTGGACGATGTAAGTTAACAATTTGAAAATAATGATAATCATGAGATTTATTTTAGAGTTCCACAACACAACACATAAAAAGGTATTTTTTTCTAATAGTTTTGTTTCCAATGAATAATTTTTCTTAATTGTTCGCTTTCGTGGAGCAGAAGCTTTTTTTCGCGTTTATTTAATAAAAGAAACGACAACAAACAGGTTTTAATACTTTTGTGTTTGTTTTTTTTTTCTACTCTGATTTTTCAGAAGCCAGTTTTGAATTTAGTTGATGGTTTATTGAATCCTCAATTAACTGCTTATAGTAGACTGAATGAATCACAGCGCCTTCCATCAACTGGGTAATTAATGAATTAATTAATTGTTTAATTTTAATTAATATTTTTGGCTAGATCATGTACAAGTCGAGATATTCAACTGCAGTGTTTGGATGCTAGGGCTTTGTTATCAAGGACAGCAGCGTCAACACCTGTCAGTTCTTTAGATTTGGAGTGGGAACATGAGACGATCCCAATTTCAATGATTCATGATCCATCAGGAAGTTCTTGGTTGGTAGAAATTACTAAATTAAAATTGGAGTTATTTTAATGAATTAACCAATTTCGCTATTATGAATGAAACTTAAGTATAAAGTGATTGGTTTCTCCATGGTTACGCACATTATAATAATGGCCGACCTCAAACGGACCAATCACATCATTGCATTAAATTTCAATGAATTCAAAGAACTAAAGTGATTGGTGATTTACATTATTATAATGGCCGACCGTAAACGGCCCAATCACAATGCTACAACTTTTACAACACTTTTTATGTTAATTCATTAATAGTTTTTTGATATTCTCTAACAAATATTTTTTTCGTAACACACCGTTTTTTTTTTGACGACACAGTAATTCCATGCCAAGACGATCACTTTTAAAACTCATTGTTTCTGATTTTCGTAAATTTGGGATTTCACCGTTTTTTATTTTTTTAATGTATGTTGAAAAACAGGTATCTACAAAATTAAGTACCTCGGAGTAAAAAGAATTTTTATCTAAAGAACAAATCAACATATTGAAAGGTTTTTTTAATAATAGTTATAAATAGGTACATTACGGACGTGATAATAGAAAAAATTTGTTGTTAACAAATAATTTAAAAATATTGTTTAAATAAGAAAATAAACAATTACGCAGGTTTTTAAAATTCTCAAAAAATTTATGTAAAAACTCTCACATTTTTACTATGTCTTCATATAAGTTTCAAGACGTACGTTTTAAAGATGGCTGAAAAAAAATTTTTTTGAAAGCGCTGCAAAGTAGCGTTTCCTTGGAAATTAAATAGAAAAATTATCAATTACCGTCACTAATAAACTGTTCTAAAGAAAACACAATTTCCAATAATGTATTAACATTTATTTTTCAAAAAATATCAATAATAAAAAACAAATTCTTCGGTTGAGTAAATATTTCACATATTACGTTTGACTATACAGGGTGTGTCAAAATTCCCGGACCAACGTGACATGCCATGTAATGTAACATGAAAAAAATGTTAAAAAAATTTGTCACAAAATTTTTACATTTATTTTTTGAAAATTGACATTTTTTATGTCTATTGATGATCTTGTGTATGTTTTTTTATAATTAATTAATAAAGGTACGAAAATTTTGCCAATAAAAGCCACAAATAACATTAGACAGAATTACAATTTAGGATGCAGCTTCCTCTTCTAATAGCCTGTAGCAAAAAAAAACATGGAAAATTATTTTTCCAACAGAAACAAAGTCAAAGTGCAAAAAACTCTCATAACTTCCAAATTTTTATAGATAGATTTTTTTTACATTCTTTCCTGGTATCTTACCTTATATGGCATATTACGTTGGTCCGGGATTGATGACACACCCTATATAATCCAATCGACAAGTTGAAAGACTGCGATTTTTTAAATGATCATTTTAGTCGAACGAAGTTCATAAAACGTACGCGAAATCTACATATTTTTATATTAATATCAGAAAGTAGAATAAAAAAAATATAGAGAGTAATTTGTATTTATTATTGCTATTTTTTGAAAAATAAATGTTAATAAGTTATTCTATACAACAGTTTATTAGTGACGGTAATTGGTAATTTTTCTATTTAATTTACAAGCTACTTTCAGACGATCTTAGGGGGGATCTCAAATAAAAAAAAATTCAGCCATTTTTTAAACGTCCATCTTGAAATTATGTGAAGACATAGTAGAAATATGAAAGTTTTTACATAAATTTTTTGAGAATTTTAAAAACCTGCGTAATTGTTTATTTTTTCGTTTAAACAATATATTTTTAAATTATTTGTTAATAAAAATTTTTTAGAATACATGTATTATCACGTCCGTAGTGTACCTACTTATATCTATTATCAAAAAAAAAATCATTTCAATATGTTGATTTGCTTTTTAGATAAAAATTCTTTTTGCTCCGAGTTACTTAATTTGTTTTTCACCATACATTGAAAAAATAAAAAACGTTGAAATACGTGTCACTTATTTTTACACGTTTTAAAAGTGATCGTTTTGGCATGGAATTACTTTACTTGTTTGTTTAGGACTGCGCTGCCTGAAGACTTCTCTGAAACAAGTCCTCAAAACACAGCCCCGGGATTAAATAGCGACTCAGATTGGTCGAGAGTCTCTTCAGCAAATTCTTTAGAATGGGATAACGTCCAGAATTCGATTCAAGCAAGTCCGCCTATATCTGAAATTGACACTGATACTCAAATACTTCTCAGTGAAATTGAAAGACTTACAAGTAAAACACTACGTGAAACGGGTCATGATTTGTTCAGCTGATTTGAAACTACGATTGTGGTAAATTAATAATTTTTATTAAATAGGTGCAATATGACTGAAACGGGTGATGTGGTTATCATTTTTTTATTTTATTTAAGAAAAGACAAATTATAGTAAATAAATAAACAGTCGATTAAGTATGCGTGGTGTATAATGTAATAATTATACAGGGTGTTCCCATTAAACTCAACTTTGTTATTTTAAGTATAAAATTGGGTTTTTACCGTGTTTGACATTTTTTAACTTTTTTTAAAATTGGATTTGAACCTTATTTTCATAAATCGATAACTTACCCATTTTTAAATATACTGCTCCACAAAAATTTTATTCTTCTTAGCATTGTGGAATCCAACAAAAACAAAAAAGTAAAAAGATATCTGCCTTTATCTCACTTTTAATTAATTATTAGTTTAATTTTTAATAATTTATGAATTTAATTAATTGTAATTAATTATGAAATTGTATTTGGGTATTTGAAAGAGAAAGGTTCGAACTCTCTTTTGGTGGAATCATAATTGAGAAAATTAACAAGAAAATCAAATATCCTGAACGCATTTTTTTAATAAAATGCTCCAATTTATTCTTGATTAAATGGAAGAGAATTTAATTTTGCTTTGATCTGTATTAACATACTCTAGTAGTTTTCACGTTATGTCGATACAGAATGATTTAAAAAAGATTGCTTTCAAAGGGTCATATTAACTGAATCATCCTGTATTTTAGATACATAATCATTATGAAAATAATTTACAACAATTTTTCTGTTATTTTTTTTATATATCACTTTTGATTTTAACAGAATTGAATTCAAATTCAATACAGAGTGATTAAGTAAAGATGGTGAGTTTGTTTTTAAACCGACTTTTTAATAATTTCAAGACTTTTACGCTGCATTTTTCTAAGTTTTTGGGTGTTGGACTTATTGTGATTTAATTTTTGAACAAATGTAGAATGTTAGCATTTCAACTGATTCACTCTGTCGATTTCAAGTTTTTTTTTACTAAAAATTCGTCGCAGTTTAACAAGATTTAATTATGATACATTAAATAGTATTTATCGTTTCAAAAAGTATGAAGATGTTTTTAGAAATACTTTCAGTTGTCTTGAATCACTCTGTATATAATAATAAACCCGTTTTTGTATCGAAAATCGGTCAAATTTACACTTTTCCACTTATGTCTTTTATGACAGAATTGAATTAAGATTAAGTAAAGAGTGATTCAGGAAACCGTTTTTTGAAACGAATTTAGTTTTTTATAATTTCAAAACTTTTAAACTAACTAATAACTTTAATATTTTTCAGTAATTTTCAAGACTTTTGCACTATATTAAAACTAATTAAAATTTAATTTTTAAGACAAATCTAGAATGGTGGCAATCTCAACTGAAGCACCCTGTACAGTTGGAGTGACTTTTTCGTCGCAGTTTAACGAGACTTGATTATTTTATTTAAATATTATTTATTATTTCAAAAAGTGTAAAGAATTTTTATAAATATTTTAGCCATCTCAATTGATTCATTCTGTCGATTTCAAGTTTTTTTCACTAAAAGTGTGAAGATTTTATCAGTTGTCTTGAATCACTCTGTATTAATAATAAACCCGTTTTGTATCGAAAATCGGTCAAGTTTACACTTTTCCACTTATTTCTTGGTGTTTTTTTCGAAATATTTTATGACAGAATTGAATTAAGATTAAGCACAGAGTGATTCAGTAATGATGTCGAAACCCTTTTTTGAACAGCTTTTAGGTTTTTTTTTATAAAATTTCAAGACTTTTAAACTATATCTATGTGTATTGCTTATTGCAGTTTATATTTTTAAGGAAATTTAGAATGGTGGTCATCTTAATTGATTCATTCTGTACATTAGAAGAATTTTACAAAAAGTATAAAAATCGAGTAATGCTGAAAAATATTTAAACAATAATGGAAATATTTTATGACAATTGAATTAAGATTGAGTACAGGGTGATTCAGTAAAGATGTCGAAACCGTTTTTTGAATAACTTTCAAATTTTTCAATAATTTCATGGTGGCAATCTCAACTGAAGCACCCTGTACATTTATTTTTATTAAAAATTCGTCGCAGTTTAACGAGACTTGATTATTTTACTTAAATATCATTTATTATTTCAAAAAGTATGAAGAATTGTATTGGTGATAAATCCGTTTTCTTATCAAAAACTTTGAAAGACATTTTTAAATATTTTGTAACAAAACTTAATTGAAATTAAGTACTCTTTTATGTGCCCAAATACGATTTCAAAATAATTAAAAACGACAGAGTTATCGATTTTTTAAGAGGAAAATGCAAATTTAGTGAAATTCAAAAAAGTCTAAATATTTCGGAAACTAGGGAAGACAAACTGTCTCAAAATCACTTGCCTAATCCAAAAACGCAATAAAAAATGTAGCTTTCTATTTAAAATAAGGAGGTTGATACTCACTTCCGGTTAACCGGAAGTGCTGCCATTTTGAAAATATTTTCATTTACCAGGACCTAACCGATTATGTGTGGTTTAGCTGGAACACCCTGTATATTTACAAAAAAGTTAAATATTCCATTTTTAGTTCACTGTGATTAGAAATATTAATCATATCATCCTAAAGAGTTAAATCAAATATTATTTGTGATAAAAAGTACTAAACAAATGTATTGGATGTCAACACTTTATAAAATTTTGTTTCCTTATTTTTTGGCCGAATCAGCTTCTTTGTTGGCATCTGGTACAAAAAACTGCTAGTTTTGTAAAGTTTACACCAATTTTCCATAATAGGACACAGAAAGTGACAAAAATTTGTCACTCACTGTATAAAAAAATTCACCTAGTAATTATTATTGGTTAGATTAGTGAAAATGTGGTAGAGGCCTATAAAAACGGTTGTTTTATTAACCAATTCCACCCACACAGGTTGTGCATTTTGTTTGAATCAAAATGAAAGTTTTTTAAATTTCAGCAACATAATCACTGCGACTGCAGCAACTAAATTCTAAATAAATTAATTACCAATGTTGTAATAAATGTTTTGCTGCTTAAATTGAAGATTAAATATAAAATATTGTTAAAGTTTTTGAAAAAAAATTATTTATAAAATTGTTTGGCAATAAGAAGAGGATTTGGTGAGGGTGTAAAGTTGGTAAATGAATATTTATCAGGGGGGACCAAGAAATTGCATGTTTAGTGAGGCCTTCAAGTGTAATCAGAATTTGATTGTTTTATCAAATTCTTTGAATTAGTTTATTTCCACCCCATGGCTAAATTGTTGTAAATACACACTTCATGTATACATATCACCCCACAAAAAATAAAATAGTACCATGTGAAACGTGTTTTATTAACATTCAATCTTAAAATTGGAATAACAGTAAAATTCATTTCCCAAGTTGTTTCTATGTTGGGGCTTTAGAGGAGTTTTCTTCAAATCTAGTAAACGTTCAACGAATTTTTCCATTACTGCGCCTAAAATTAAAATTAATTAAATTACAAAGTTTTTCTTCTCGTGTAATATGAGTGAAGGTCGTTTTAGAAACACAATACCGTTCATGCTACTAGAGTTACCATGAAATAAATAACTTTGAATTAGATTTTTTTATAAAACTACCTGTACACAGGATGATTTTCTCTTTAGTTAGGAATTTAAGAGTGGCAGCAACTTTTGTTAAACATTCCTCGGACAAAAAAGGTGGATCAGCAATCACAAGATCGTAACAACTTGCTTTTTCGCGTGGTACCCCTAATGGGGACTTGTAATCATAAGGAATAAAATCTTTCCCATAAACACTAAAACGGTGATCATATTCATAAAGCGTTACTAAAAATCGATTTTTTAACATGTAAATGCGAACTTAAAACTTGCCAACCCTCCCCCTTTTCGCTTAAACATTCTTTCATTTTTTTGTAAAGTGTGGGACAAGAAACCAGTGCTATTTTACCCTCAGGTCCCACTTCTTTTAAAGCTACATTAACTAAGTTTTCTGTGGTTTTGTCGTCGTACCAAAATTGGCTTAGTTGCTAAAATTGTAAACTTAAAATTTTACTATAAGTGCAGTTTTTTTACCCAGTTTTCGTCTAAAGTAGGATTTTCATCAGATGACAAAAATCGTTTTTCTCTTTCTTCTTGCTCTTTGTAAAACTCCTGAAGCGCCTGGAAGGTGCTTGCAGATAACTGGGGTTTGTCGTCCTCTTCATCAGACATTTTCTTAAAACAAGGAGTAATTTATTTAACTTTTTTTTTAAATTACAATTTTGAAAATGTTAGGTTAGGAAAATTATTTGACATGTGTCATTTGTTTTAAAAATCTGAGGTTAGGAAAATTATTTGACATGTTTTGAACTAAAATTTAAAAAATAGTTAATTTGATTAAGTAATTATAATTGATTACAATTTTTTCTATTTATAATTATTTTGTATTGCTACGAAATAAAAACGTTGTCAAGCGTGCTTTGAAAATTTTATGAACGTATGTCTTGAATAGTAACGTCAATACCTCATTTCATTGTTCTTAAATAATTTGACATTTTATTAAACATAACAATTTAGGTTAGACACACGTTCATGAAATTTTTACATCACACTTGATTTGACTTTTTTCACTCAGAAACGTCAATTTTTTGCAAATTTTTTTGTGTCATTTTTTCCAAAATTAGTAAAATTCTTAGTATGTCAAGCTTCAAAGGAAAGAAAAAGCCTTCCAAACAGTCAAAAAATAAAGAAAAGAAAGAATTAGATGAAAGCGAGCTTCCCCGCAAACCGAAAATTAAAAAGGAACAACAAAAAGGCACACAAGAGACGAAAGTGAAAAAAGGAACCCCAAAGGGGTCCTTGGTTGGTGATTGCCTTAAAAAAAGGCAAATAAGGATGAGTGAACAAGATGCACAGGCAGTACCCCACTTTTCTCATACTTTTTGATAATTTTGTAAAAAATAATTGATGAAACAATAAAAATCACGATTCTATTATAAGATTTTTCACAGTTTATTCTAGAATGGAAAGTGAAATTCAATCAAATTACGGAAAATTTAAAAAAAGACAGCGTGTGAACATAAAGCAAACGTTTTTTGCTTAAACTATTTACCTAAAAAAAATGGTAACTCGTTAAAAAACCTTTTTTTTACAAAGACTATGATCTAAGGATTACCACTATCTATACTCGTATACATATTAATGTGCATCAAAGTAGTCGTTGAAAAGGGATCATTTTAAGGTGGCAACCATGCGAAAATCCAAACAATCTTAACCTCAATCTTCAAAACATTTTGACATTTATTTTTTGACATTTGTCATTTTTATGTCTATTTAATAATGCCAACGATCTTCTATATGTTTTTTCATAATTATTTGGTAAAAGTACATTTTTTTTTGCAAAATGACACAAATAACGTTAAACATAGTTAGAATTTAGAATACAGTTCCCTTGTTTCCTCTCCTAATAGCCTGTAGGTAGTAAACATTTTATTTTTTTTAACATTGATAATTTTTTTAAACTATAATTTCTACTGAAATTAATTTAAATTTACTAATAAAATTCAAATTATGAAGAAAAAAAAATGGGTTCTCATTTTAAATTAG